TGGGAGCTGCCATTCAGGCCCTTTCCTTACCGGGAGGACACACAGGAGTGACTGCTGGCTGGTGCCCCGGGATTTAGGGCCACTCCTGGGGCGCCCAGACACCCACATCTGGGAACCTCCCCAACTGTGCCGTCAGCCCCTCTGGACAGGCAGCCGAGCCTAGAGAGCAGTCTGTGTGGTGGGGATCCTGCTACACAGTCCACGGGGGCTTGTGGAATCTTCCTGACTCTGACCCAAGCCCCCCTCTCCTCCCCCGGCTCCTCCTCTCACGGCCTCCGCTGGCCCCCCCCCCCACCTCTCCCTGCCCAGCCTCCTGCCCCCAGGCAGCCCGGGGCTCCTTCCCAGGGCCCTGCTGGGTCCCCTCCCTCCTGGACACCGTAGCCTGGGTACCTCTCCTCCTCCCCTGGCTGGGCTAGAACTGGGCTCCCCAGGGCACAGTGTGTGGGGGTCCTGGGCAGAGGCAGGAGCTGCCGGCGGAGGGGGCTTCCTAGCGGCCCAAGCAAAGCAGGCAGCTGGCTGGACATGAGCCCCACAGGGTCCACGGAAAAAGCCAGCCCATCCCAGTAAGCACAGCTTTGCCCAGAGCCTGTGCCCCAGAGAACCCTCTCCCCTACCCCTTCCTGCTTTTCTGGAGCAGGTGGGCGTAGGCCAGCGGACGGGGCCACTAAGGGGACTAGAAAAGCAGTTGTTTCTCGAGGAATAAGAGTATCTAGGGAGGCGATTGATGGCTGAGGTGGCTGCAAAGGGTGTGCCAGCTGCTCTGGAGGTGAGGGAGCCTGGGAGACGGGGCCTGGGTCCCTCGACCGTCCCTCGGGGCCGGGCCCCACTCGGGCACTTGGCATGGGCAGGGCTGTAGGTGTCACGTCCGCTACAGGTGCCATAGGGGAAGGCTGTAGCCAGTCCAGGGATGGGCTCATGCCCGCACCAGGAAAGGGTAGCCTGTGGGGTGGCAGTGGGAGCTGGTGGGGGCTTCTGACCAGGACGGAGGGTGGTCCCGAGGGTGACGGGCACGGGGCTACCCCCAGGTGGCAGAGGCCTGAGGCCGGGCGGCCCTGCCTGAGTTGGGGAGAGAGAACCGTGTGTGTTCTTCCTCAAGGACCACTGTGGGGCCTTGGATCCGTCCTCTGATTGGGGAACTTGAGCCCAGCCTCAGCAGGTCATCCCTCTCGCCCGTGGACGCCTGTGTGGACCTGCATACGTGCAGGGCCGTGCGCTCAGATGGACACCTGCATGCAGACACGGCCGGCCCCAGCCCTGGAGGGGTGCCCCCACCTCGGACTCCGGGGTCTCCCAGCTCAGATTCGGGCAGCGCCCAGTGGACCCTCTGCTGGTTCAAGGGAGGGGGCGGGCTGGAGGGGGCAGGGAGGCAGGGCCAGGCTTCGCCGGCGGGGGCAGCTTTGGCTTCCTGTGCTTCCTGTCAGGTGGCACCGTGTGCCCGTCAGGTGTGTGGGCCGCCTGGTGGCTCTTTCTTCTTTTAAGTTTTTAATGGTTTTAGCCCTGCCGGGTGGCTATCTGGTTGGAGCGTTTTCCCATGCACCAGAGGGTTGTGGGTTCGATTCCTGGTCAGAGCACATACCTGGGTTGTGGGTTTGATTCCCCAATCGATGTTTCTCTCTCTCTCCCTGCCCCCCTTCCTCTTTCTCTAAAAATCAATCAATCAAAACATATCCTCGAGCCCTGACCGGTTTGGCTCAGTGGATAGACCATTGGCCTGCGGACTGAAGGGTCCCAGGTTCGATCCCGGTCAAGGGCATGTACCTTGGTTGTGGGCACATCCCCAGTAGGGGGTGTGCAGGAGGCAGCTGATCGATGTTTCTCTCTCATCCATGTTTCTAACTTTCTATCCCTCTCCCTTCCTCTCTGTAAAAAATTGATAAAATATATTTAAAAAAAACACACAACATATCCTTGGGTGGGAATTTAAAAAAAAGGTTTTTATTGATTTTTTTTTTTAAGAGAACGAGAGAAAGGGAGAGATAGAAACATCGATGAGAGAGAAACATCATCAGTCGGCTGCCTCCTACTAGAGACCAAACCGTAACCCAGAAATTGAACTGTGACCTCCTGGTTCATAGGTCGACGCTCAACCACTGAGCGTTGGCCGGGCTGGTCCACCTGTTTGCATGTCGGGGGCTGTTGGTCAGCCTGGCCCTCGGATAGGGCTGCCCGTGGCGCTGGGAGGCTCCGGAGGAGGTGCTCTGCCTCGGAGGCGGGCCTGCAGGTGCTTCGAGACCAGGAGGTGGAGGCCAGGGTGCAGTCCTGGGGCGGCCACACCCAGGCCTGCCCCCTGCAGCTGAGGTGGCCAGGCCCCGGTCATAGGTTAGACTGCCGGGTGCACAGCTTGTGAAGGGCTGGGCGGGGATTTCCTTGGAGATGAGAGTGGGTGTGACTGTCTGCCACCAGAAGGTGGGGAAGGGCTGGGCACTCAGGACACATGGGCAGCCATGCCCCCTCCTGCCCGCCCACCCCCCACCCCCTGGCTGTGTCCTGGTATTCGGTCAGGGTCCAGCATGGAGGGGGTCCGGTTTGGCCTTTGAAGGAGGACTTCCTACGCATGGACAGATCCTCCCGGGAGGCCCCCTCCTGCACGCCCCCTACTGGGGCTCAAGCCCATAACCCGGGCATGTGCCCCGACTGGGAACCGAACCGTGACCTCCCGGCTACCCTCTGGGGCCGCCCTGACCCTCCTCTCTTCTCACAGGGGCCCGGGGGTGATGGCTCTGCAGCTCTGGGCCCTGACCCTCCTGGGCCTGCTGGGCACGGGCTCGGGGCTGCGGCCCCGGAAGCTGGACTCCTTCCAAAGCAAGACGGAGCTGAACCACCTGGTGGTGGACGAGGCGTCGGGCGTGGTGTACGTCGGGGCGGTGAACGCGCTCTACCAGCTGAGCGCCGACCTGCAGCTGGAGCAGAAGGTGGACACGGGCCCGGCCCTGGACAACAAGAAGTGCACGCCGCCCATCGAGATCAGCCAGTGCCATGAGGCCGTGCCCACCGACAACGTCAACCAGCTGCTGCTGCTGGACCCGCCGGGCCAGCGCCTGGTGGAGTGCGGCAGCCTCTTCAAGGGCATCTGCGCCCTGCGCGCCCTCAGCAACATCTCCACGCGCCTCTTCTACGAGGACAGCAGCGGCGAGCGGTCCTTCGTGGCCAGCAACGACGAGAGCG